ACTGGGAAAACTTCTTCAATATTCTTCAAACATACTCTCTGCTCATATGAAGATTGAATCAATCTATACTTGGTGTGACTCCACAATTGTCCTAACCTGGATACGTACTCTTCCATACCGCTTGAAAGTCTTCATTGCCAATCGTATTTCAGAACTCCAAGAATTGGTCTCTCCTCACTCATGGAATTATGTCAAATCTCAAGACAACCCGGCAGATTGCGCCACTCGTGGTCTTTCACCCTCTCAACTTGTGACTCATCATTTATGGTGGAATGGACCGGAATGGTTACAGTCATCGTCAGATTCTTGGCCTAAGCCAAAATTCACACCTGTTATTGATGATGACACTCTTGAAATAAGGCCAAATCCTCTAAACGTTCTAGCAACCACAGAGAAGATTAAACTCACTGATTTTGATATACTGGAAAAATATTCATGTTTCAGGAAACTTGTAAATGTCATGGCATATATATTGCGATTCATTCATAATCTACAAGCCAATGATTCCCGCATCGGACGACTTACTTGCCAAGAAACTTCGTCTGCGAAAATAAGAATTTTCAAACTCATACAAAATACATCATTTAAGGATGACATCTCTGCTCTCAAAAAGGGATCTCAATGCAGCTTAAAACTTGCTCGTTTATCCCCATATATTGATGACAGTGGAATAGTGCGAGTAGGCGGCAGGTTGAAACATTCCAACCTTACACAAGATGCGAAACATCCAGTTTTGTTACCTAAATCTCACTGTGCTGTCAAACTGTTGATTATGCATTATCACCTAAAGCATCTACACGCAGGCCCTCAATTGCTGCAGTCTATTCTGTCTCAAGAGGTTTGGATATTATCAGCCCGCAGCGTGATAAGATCTGTGATTTTCAAGTGTCAAAGATGTTTCAGACTTAAGCCTGTAAACAAACCTCCACTGATGGGAGATCTTCCTGAAACTCGATTAAAACCTGTAAGGCCATTCTATCACACTGGCATGGACTATAGTGGACATTTTGACATTAAAGTTCATTCAACTAGGAACACTCAACGGTTAAAATCATACCTCTGCCTCTTTGTGTGTTTTGCTATGAAAGCTGTGCACCTAGAAATTGTAACAGACCTATCTGTAGACTCCTTCATAGCTGCACTAAAACGTTTTGTTTCTCGTCGTGGATTGTGTGCCCACTTATACTCAGATTGCGGAACTAACTATGTTGGAGCCTCAAAGCAACTCATGAAAACTTTTCAGAATTTCATCAAGGAATCAAACACTAAAGATGCTCTTAACAACTTCGCGTTAGATCACTCAATAAATTTCCACTTTCAACCACCAGCCGCTCCCCACCAAGGAGGCCTATGGGAGAGTGCTATAAAAAGTTCTAAATATCATCTGAAAAGAGTCATAGGCGATAGAGTTCTAACACTAATGGAAATAATAATACTCGCCACACAGGTGGAGGCTGTACTAAACTCGAGACCTTTGACAGCGTTATCCGCAGATCCATCCGACATCTCAGCCCTTACTCCGGGTCATTTTCTTATCGGCACTTCTCTTGTGGCAGTACCGGAACCAAATCTTGAAGAGGTTCCCGAAAATCGTCTCAACCATTGGCAAACTGTACAAGCCCTACATCAACGCTTCTGGCGACGTTGGCATCAAGAATATTTACATCAGCTACAACAAAGAAAGAAATGGGAAAAGCCCAACAAGAATCTAGAAGTGGGTGATCTCGTTATAATTCAGGACCCTAGAACACCACCACTACTTTGGCCTCTTGGACGCATAGTGAAGACTTCGCCTGGATCAGACGGCATCGTCCGAGTTGTCACCATCAAGACTCAGCGGGGAACCTTCTGTCGTCCTGCTACCAAGGTGTACCCGCTCCCCTGATCTCATTATCAGACCAAACAAAATGTTTATTCTATTTTCAAACATATTTCTATTTCAATGTTATGTATATATATTAATCTATGTTTCTTATATTTCAATGTCAATCCATATTCATTATGTGTCACTTTGTAACTTTCTCAATGTTTTGAACCATGTACGGTTCAAGGCGGGCGGCATGTTCCGTATTCAAGCGCTACCTAGATATTTCCAGACGTTTCATATCATACAATAACCTTTGTCCTGTCACGTGATGTCTGGAAACCCCAATCTCGCCCCAGTTCTCTTGCATTCATGCAACTACTAACATGTCCCCGGCACAATTAACTCCCAATTGCTGCTCTCATCTCTTAACCCCAAAGTATATTTAATTATTATTAGTGACACATATTAAAAGTGAACTATTGAACATTTGTGAAGTGAAACACTACTACTGCCGGTCCGGGTCTGTGTACGAGCAATACGCAATAGCTGGCCAGCAGAAGAAACTCGTGTACGTCTACCGGCTTCGTCTTCTCAACACTTCAGTTAAAAGGAAGGTACCTCATCAATCTCATTATTATCTGTTAAATAATTAGTGACAAGTTTTTAATATTGCTCTTTCAACATACAGTCCATTTGAACATTTTTAGGCAAGTTTACCCCCCAGGTTGAAACATGTTGGCCTTGCCAAAAGTACGCTCCAGCTCAGAAATCAGAACCCTTACAGCCTCACAATACTCCAACAAGAGCATGGCAAAGAGTTGGAATCGACTTCTTCCAGCTGCACAGTGACCTCTTTCTTATAATGACAGATTATTTTTCGTCATTTTTTGAGCTGAAGAAAGTGAATTGGGTTGAGAACTTACATTGTATCAATTGAAGGAAGACTATTTAGATGCAAAGAAGATTTATTCATCCATTAAAAAGTTAAAGAGGTAGATGTTGGTATTGCTATAACCAGCAGATCTCTAGTTGTTGATTATGTTATGCTATGATTTCTTAGAATAAACACTTATCTTGTTTCAAATTGGTATTTAATTAAAACAGTTTAATTAATACATAAATGAACAGTATCTTTTTTAGTTTTTGTGTAAATAACAAAAAAACCTTATTTTCCTAAATCAAATGCATGTTATTTGGGTTTAACACTAATGGCCCAATTCCTCCCCCCCCCCCCCTAGGCATTAGGAAGTTGTCAAGTTTAAGACTTATCAGGTGACATAGAAGACCAATTCCTCAAAGGCTTTTAGGAAACTCATCAAGGAACTATAATTGCTGAGATCAATTGTCACTAATAACTGAACTTTCACTTCAATTAATCTGTTACCTTTTTCAAATAGGCTTCCGGATTGATTACTTTGAAACAAATTTGTTTAGTGGACTTATCACTGATGTCACTGTTGTTATTACTATTTAAAATTTCAATAAAATATATATCATAAACTTTTCTGATGACTCACTCCTTAAAATCATAAAAATAACACATATAAAGATAATTTGCTGCTACTGGGTGGCAGTCTTTGCTTGAGATCAATGGAAAATTAGCAAATTTCTCTTTATAAATGTAATTAAAAAGTTTCATGTAGGATAATCTGGATCATAATTGATTAGTGACAAATGGATTATCTGTTTTCCAAAACCAAGGCAACGTTGGGATCATCTCTTGCGATTACGGAAACATCGTAGTCATTAACCGCAAATGCGATTTACGTGACACAACAACGTGAAAAGATATAGCAAAATTTATATACAATTTCTAAACAGTTTCCTGGTCATTGAAATCCTATAGGTCGGCCGCTTAGAAAACGACCTGCGCAAACTTTTTAGCGCATGTAGGGGAGGTAACGGCGAGGGAGGGTATGATCCCCCTCTCTGCCAATGGCCGTTTTCACACTGCATGACTCGACACCGGCACGACGGTGTCATGGGAGTTGGAATCCTGTGTTACCAAATGGAACTGCTTAAACAATGATATAATAACATTTCATGATGCTCAAATATTGATGCGATTTCGGCTATACAATATTTTTTGCAGGACCTATTTTTCTCAAGTTATGAAGAACGTAATTGTTTACATTTTGATCAGCTGTTGCTGTATAATTTAATTTGATTAGCTGTGTTCGGGAAGGTTGGGGGTGGGTCGGCAGCGGAGTGGGGGAAGAGCCATAGTCTGTCTCACTCCCACAGCTCAGTATCTCTCTCTCGCACCAATGCTACGAGGAGGACGCTTTCTAAGCGGCCGACCTATAGCACTATATTCCAAATTTGTTTCAAATCAATGAGTTTTCCTTTTGCATTTAGCACACAGTCCCTGGTTGGCAACATTTTTTAAAGTTTAACTTTAAGTCCTTCACTGATATTAGCATTAAAATGTGCTCGGTTGCATTCATTTTATCTTTAAATAACAGCTAGATTTTGGTAGAATATCAATATTCAATTGAAACAAGTGGGCTTTTTAAGGGTGTATTCACAAAGAAAGCTGGTTACAACCGCTTGTTGGTGTGAGAAAAGTTTACATTCTATCAAGCCTATGCGTTTACAGACAAAGCCTGTACCGGCTAGCAGTGCCTGCTACAAGTTCTGACAAGCACGCAAGAACGTTTTGTACTTGTTTTCCGGCTCTTGTTGGCCGAACTAGTTCTGTCAGAGACAAACAACTGTAAAGTATGGATGACAATGAACTGATATCTGAAATCTTTAAAAGAGGGGAAGAAGGTCTGACGCCCACTCACACGTCCTACACGTCACTCACCTTCTCAGTAATTTTATGTGTTTTTTAAATGTTAAACGTCAGTGCTCAATGTTCAATGTTCATGATAAGTGTTTATCCGTTTTTAAAAACTACGACGACCTTCAAATGAAGTGACAACTTATATCCTTGCAAGCCTGAAGATGACTCTACGTAGTTGAAAGCGGTTGCAACATAAAGCATTACATAGACATAAACATAAAGTATTGGATTACTTAAATGCAGGTATCTAAACCACTTTACGGTAATAGCTCAGTCTCTATATGGGAAATTCGCTAAAAGTAAATTATTTATCTATAATATCTATATTTATGTTTTTATTTATCTATACAGATATATAAAAAAATACATCAGCCACCACTAAATATTTACACCTGTCTCACTCACACTGCTCTTGTCGGAGTTGCTGACGAGAGTAGACTTGATGTAGATCCTCTCCTCCTCTGAGATAGAGATGTGAGAGTCAGGACAATCTGCTCCAACGAAGAGCCAAGCTATGGCCCACAGTCCGCTACACAGACCCGTCACATAGAAGATGCTTGGCCACCCGTAAGGCCCAGCTGCTAGGTAGCCTGCCACAAACAGTGTGACCACTGTGCCAAACTGGGTACCTGCCAAAAAAAAAAAAAAAAAACAGAAAAATCATATTTAAAACTGTCTAAGTCCTATATACTACCTAACCAATAAGTTTACCAGTGCTTTGCGATCGATTGTGGAGGACGTCTCCATGATATGACAGAAAATTGATATTTCCTTAAAAAAGTAGATTTTTAGGTGTGGTGTTGATGTACCAAATCTTATTGATTTATCTGGTGTCGTTTAGAAAATATTAAACCGGTCCGGGACTTTTGGGACAGTCTGTATATCTAGGCCTTGTATGACTGAAAAAACTTGAATTTAAACAGACTTTCAAAAAGAAAACAACTGAATCATCGGACAAAGTGGTGGTTTTGTAAATAAGACAAAATAAATAAATATGTAACAGAAGAGCTGCTCACCTCCAAAAACAAATGAGAATATTCTGCTTCTCTCCAATGGCGGAGCCCACTTTGCCATATGAGTGTTGATTGAAGGATAGAGAAATCCCTGGAAAAGTGTGAAACATGAAATACTGTGAGTATAATAGTACTCTTTTATGAAAAAATTATTTAAATCTTTGGTTTTTCTTTAATTGAAGAAAAGTTAAAGTTTAGGAAAATAAGAAATATACATTATTAAAAATTTAACACAAAATATTTTAAGTAAAAATGTTGTTTATAGCCTACTAAAAGGTTTTCTTTGAAATACTAATTGGCATATAAAAAGTCAAAATAATTATAAACCACCTAATTATAAAATTATAAAATAGGGTTGATAGCAAGGTATTAAACAAAATGAAAAAATAAACTCTAAAATATATATCCCAAACAACAGTGAATGAGTTAATGACCCGAATTATGATGAACAAATTGTCAACCAATGCTTTGTTGCACTTTCTTTATGCTAATCACATTTGTCCATCCAGGCCTATCAACTAGCGATGGACTTTTTTAACAGTGGTTGACCCCTTGGACTAGAATATTATTAGTTATTACAAAACATGTTTCATACTTGGCGAGGCGTTGGTTCCCTCCCACAACATAATCAGCTACTACAACAAACTGTCGCATAGGGAAAGGACCGGCAAGTATAGTATTGGGGGAAGTAAAGAAAATGACTATTGTTCTTTGTTTGAAGTTCATTGTTGGTAATGGTGAGTTAATGTTGTTCAAAGGTTTATTGCGGACACAGGCATCGCTGCCATAGGGGACATGGGGGACGCATCCCCCCCAATATTTGAATTCAGTTTTGTAAATTTAAACATACATTTCGTTCTTAAAACACGCAATGCCATAAAACAGACATCATCAATGTAGTTTTTATTAAACTTAATAAGCGATGGCAGGAGTAGTATTAAGTTCCACATAGATAAACTTTGTGGACAATAGCACAACGAATCTATATATCTAATTCCGTAAGCCCAAAATTTTACAATGAAATTGTGAGCGAACTGGAGGCCGTAGAAAGCTGGGAGGGGTCTCATTTTAAAGGTCTGGGCATGAAGTTTTGGGGAAAATACTCATTTTTCTTACTTATGCACCAAAAGGTTATTACAGGATAAAATAAATCACATTTAAATAGCATGGGAATCCAGGTCATGTCCGATTTGTTTACTTTAAAACATGTGGTTTAGATTTATTTAAAGCATATGGTAATATCATTGACTATTGGCTACAAAAGTTGTATTAATAGTGTTAAAGGTAGTATGTAATATATGTATTGTATGTACCTATAGTGCATTTGAAAGTAAACATGCGTGCAAATGAAAATGAAACAGCATTTTGTGATTGGCTTCTACGCTTATATTAGGTAATGGAATCTTAGAGAGCAATAGGGCAACACCGGCAATTGACATTCCAGATAACTTTGTTCTCTCTGATTGTGCAATTGTTTATGACAACTCAATAAATCCAGAAAATATTCAAAACTACTCCAATCAAATAATTGTATGTCCTTTAAATGAACATTGTGATAATTTAAATGAAGAAGTATTAAAAATCTACTACAGTAATTATGAAGTAGTTTCAGAAGACCCTACAGAGAGGTTGAACATACCAATTGAGTTTATAAATTCAATTACACCATCTGGAATGCCACTACACAAATTAGTTTTAAAAGTTGGTTCAATAGTGATGCTCATAAGAAATAGGGTCTGGATTAGTTAATGGAGTACGATTGGTTGTGTTGGGTATGTCTGAAAAAAGTGTAAAGTTAGTAGTAATTACTGGAGTAGGGAAAAGGAACATATTTTTCATGCCAAAAATAAAACTAATATCTACAGATCCTAATATGCCCTTTAAATTTACAAAGGATTCAATTCCCATTGCGATTATCTTTCACCATTACTATAAATAAAGCGCAAGGCCAAACCTTCCCAAAAGTTGGAATTTATTAAAAAAAAAAACAGTGTTTACCCATGGTCAACTTTATGTTGCTTTTAGCCGGGTAAAGCGGCCAGATGACGTTAAAATAGAAATAGAAAAAAATAAAGACCAAGGAATGGACCAAAATGGATACTACACAACAAATGTTGTTTTCAGAGAGATTTTGTTACAGAATTAGTATTTTACAATTTGGAAGATGACATTATCTCTATGTGTTCTGTTTTTCTAAGTGAATTTGTCTATATAAAAAAAAATGTATATATATTTAATTAATAGTGAAGATTATTGAAAATGTTCTTTTGCTGTATTATGATTAGAAAATTTATGTGACAAACCCACCATGAAGAGTCCTTTTGAATTTTTATCCTAAACAGAGCAGACATAAAAATGAATTATGCAGGTATGTGATAACTGTTATACATTATTATAATATACAAAAAATTTAAACGATAATTCAAGGTAGGGTACGGTAACCCATGAGACAAATAATTTGTACAAAATAATTATTAGAATATATTACATATACTGTATATAGGGGCTATTGCCCCTACAAGCCACTAGTAAAACAATATTACACTATGGAAAGTTGTACGCATCATCAAATTTTTACAGCAGTCAGCTGTAGACATGCTAGGAGGTTCTATAATCTGTGATGCTAGGGGCTGAGCGAGGACGGGGAAACAGCTGATTTCCTGATGTTCCATACTCATAGGCTAGTTAGTTAGTTGTGAAATTGTCTGCTAGCCACTGACTTTGCACAGGCATCAATCATAAATCAGCGTACTTGTACTACCAGTAGCCTATTACCATTGACTAAATAAACACTATTTTTAAAGTTTATATAGTCAATGCTATTACTGAATTTGATACTACAGTATACATATTGTGACAGATCTATGAAATGGAGAAATACGTAAGGTTAAAAAACGTGTATCTACTTGCTTGCATGACATATAACAGGTGAAATAGAAGGTTTTAGGACAATTGGGCACAGTTCTAGCCGTTACAAATGGCTTTATAAAGTCACCATACAGCTTTTAGGAGATATGGCTTCGTAGTCTACACAGTAGGCCTATGTTTTGAAATTCATGAATGCAAGTTCGTCATAGTTTGATTTTTTAAATGTCTATTTACTCAAGACAAAGACAAATAACAGGTGAAACGGGAGGTTTTTGGACAGTTGGACACAGATATAGACATTAATAATGGCTTTAGAAAGTCAGTAAACAGCTTTTTTGAGGATACAGCCGTAGCCTACAATATGTTTTGAGATTTATGAATGCAATCGTCGTAGTTAGTTTTAAAAATGTCTACTTATTAATGACAAATAAATGGGGAAATGGGAGGTTTTGCACACAGTTCTAGACGTTAAAACTGGCTGTAGAAAGTCACCCAACGGCTTTTAGGAGGATATGGCCGTAGTCTACAGTGTGTTTTGAAATTCATTAATGCAATCGTCATAGTTTAATTTTTAAAATGTCTATTTGCTCATGACAAACAACAGGTAAAATTGGAGTTTATGGACAATTGAGCACGGTTTTAGGTGTCAAAAATGGCTTTAGAAAGTCACCAAACGGCTTTGAAAATTCCGGACCCCCCTGCCTTATTAGGGGGTGCTCCACACCCCCCAAGCCCCCCGGTTCCCCCCCTGACAAAGTCCTACATTTGTCCCCCTCAAAGTTTTGATGCTGACGAAGCCAATGATTGCGGACATTTTCCATCACGAATGTAAAAAACAATACACAACGTTTCGGAATCTGGAATCTGGAATCTTGGTCAGCCATGTTGTTTCAGTCTCATTGGTTGCGAACGGTGCTATTAGTGTTCCATTGTGTGAATTTTTTTACCTTTTATAGATTATAGTGTTTTGTGATTTGCATGTTGTATCATGACTTGACTGCTATACAGTGCATATTTTTTACTACTATACCCTCTGTAGTGTATTCCAACTTAGGTTGGGCGTTTGTGTATTGTTAGTTGTAATGTGTTAGTTAAGTTTTTTTCACCTGAGAACGGGATCACATTCCAGATCCCGAAACGTTGTGTATTGTTTTTTACATTCGTGATGGAAAATGTCCGCAATAAACCTTTGAATGACTATTGTGTTTAGTTAGTCTAAACTAAATTACAGGCTCCATTAAGTTGTAAAATGGATCCTGTTAGTGACCTTAACTTATGGACAGCCCTCGAATTTATAGATTGATATGATATTACAAATCGGTTTCATGTTTCAATTTAAAGTGTTATCGTAAAAGTTTTATGTAATATTTTATGCAAATACCAGTTTTTTAACAGTTTTTTTTTGCATTTTTATTAATTTTTTAACAGTTTAAGTAGTATAAAAGCCAATATTTGTACAGTTATGAATCCTGCCTTGATTCAAGATAATGGGACAAGGCTTTTCATCAGGCTTATGCAACCAAGTGTTTCAATAAAATTTTATAACTTCTTGATCAGCATTGTACACTGTACGTGTTATTAAATTTACGGAAAGTAATAAAATTTGTACATCATTTACTAAGTAAATAGGTAAAAAAAAATTATGAATCTTTTCAAGACATTTCATTAAGAAATGTTTGCCAATAGACTTTACTGAACAAATTATAAAAAAAAACTATTAGGATCAAAACAGTTTTCTTAAAACGAGACCTTTTTGGTGCCGTCTGATCCATCCAGTGGTCGAACTAACAAAAGGTGTGACACACTTTAAAGTAATCATAGCTATTTTACATTTAGTTTACAGATTGTAGGACACTAACCTGCGAGAGACCCTGAAGGACCCGGGTGAAGCAGAAAAAAACCCAGCTGTAGTTGGTGGCAATGTATGGACTAAGAATGGTGGAGACGCTACATAACAACATGGCACCGGCAAGGAGATACTTAGGGCCAAATCTCCGTGCCAGCTGGCCGGCCGGGATCTGTGTCATCATATAACCCCAGAAGAACGACCCCAGAATGATCCCTTGGAGGGCATTGTCCCACGGGAGTATCTAGATATATGATTTATTTACACATCAAAAGTTTTGTTAGCCTTAAAAAAAAAATTAAGGGAGTAATCCTTGAAAGATTACAGTTAAGAGTCCATATTACTTGGGGTGATTTTTTTCATCGACTGTCTTATTAGAGAACTATTAATTTGTGTGAAATTGGTTTAGGGGTCCTTTCTGTTTCTGACAACAACGCTACTAGATCGCTTTATGTAAAAAAAAAAACACCAAAAATAATTTTAAATGGTTCAAATACATGCTATTAGGCAGTCCAATGTTGTTGTGGTAAATACAACTAGTTGTGGCACCTGTATGGCTAAGGCCACACTAAAAAAACAGGCCGTAATGCTCGCCAAGCATGACGTCACGATGGAAGACGGCTATGACGTATAAGTACTTATTTATTTATTTTCCAATGAAAGATTAAAACAAGCAGCTGATCACAAACGGCAAAATTACGTCATTGCCGTCTTCTATCGTGACGTCATGCTGGACCAGCATTACGGCCTGTTTTTTTAGTGTGGCCTTGGTATGGCACCATTATCAGGCTGTACGAGGGAACAAATGTTTTCTTTCTTCATACAAAGAGCGTCATATTGTTTAACACGAAAATGATAAATAAACATTTAAACATGACACAAACACGAACACGAAACATTTAAGGTAACTGATCAATTAAGAAAACAGACAACGCTAACCCCGTGGAGTTTGGGTCCAGAAACAAGTTGTGTTTACTACAACAACATCGGATTGCCTAATAGCAGGTATTTGAACCTTTTTAATATTATTTGGCAATCCAGAGGCTAGCATCTACATGAAACCAAAAATAACTATAACATTTTTAGAACTTTTTTAAACCTATTAAAATGAACTAAAACATATATCAATTTGTAATCCAATATTTAACAAAGGCTACCTAGAATAATAATACAGTGAGTGACATAAACAAGATGCCATGATAACCTTGAGTAATAATTATATAGCAAGGGACATAAACAAGATTATGTGACTTGACTATGGTACTAGAATATAGTTGCAGGTGAATTTTTTTGTATAGAAAATATCAAAAGCCAACAAAAGTAGGTACTATATTTGACTTCTATATGTAGAATACTTATTTATAATGCAAATGTTAGAAATGGTTAGCTATTCCATTTTATTATCAGGTAGCAGTAAATAAGTACGGTACTTGTAAGTTTATTTTCAACAAAAGATTTGTATTTTCATCTTTTCTCCATTCAAAAGTTTTTCTCAGAATTTCGTAAAAAAGCTTATTTTAATGCATACTTCTAGAGGCAAATAAAAAGTGAAAATTTTATGTTGACCCCTAACAACCAATATTTCCTCTGTGAAATATAGAATTCCTGTTCATAAATAGTTTTTACTCCTTTGTTTAAAGAATTTTCAACCACTTACAATGTTAACAAAATCTGTCTCATATGTGAAGTTAATGCAAACATAGGGCAGAATGTTTCTGAAGATGATTTAATCAAGTTTTTTTAATACCTCAAAACTGTTGAATTGAAAAATTGAGTTGATTAACCTTCTATGAATGAATGAATGAATTATGAGTGAATTATCTCTTTATTCCAACAAAGTATTTACAGAGATTTGTCTGTCAAATATGCTATATTTGTCTGTCTGACAATAGTTGCACTAATTACTTTGAGACAGACTTCACAAACATTAGGCTGGTACCTGCATTTACCGGGAAGCCTGTGTTTGAAGATTTCTTTGCCGTCATCGCCACAATCCCTACCGAAAGGTTTACCCTCATCGAATACGCAAAGATCATCCCCAGGAATAACATGCATGCTTGGCAGTGGCGCGTTCCAAAACCTACAACAGTTGAAAGATACATGTTAATTATTAATTTGTGTATGTAGGATCATTCTCTTTTAAAGAAGGTTACCAGAATATTTGTCATCAAAAACATTTCATTTTACCATTACATTTGCCCATGTACATTTTTGGGGTTTTTAAATGGACCTTGTTGATATCTATCTATATATATATATATATATATAATACGTGAAGCCGTTTTTTGTTAACGCAACTCCTCCCTTATTTGTGGACCAATTTCAATGTTTAAGGTGTCAAAAGATTCGTCTCAATATGTAGTTTTGCAATAAGGTTTTAGAATTTTGAAATTCCCACTCTTAAGGGCGTGAGACCTTCCCAAAGGTCGGATTTTCCCCATAAGAAATACATGGAACAAATTTTAAAACAAAAAACAGCTGTTTATAAAAAGAAACTCATTAGCTTTTTGGGAGTAAATATTAATGTTTGTAATATTCAGGAGGTTAAGACCAAGTAAACAGTTAATCAGTTTTGTTGGAAGAACAGAAAATACCTCAAGTTCAAAGAAGAAATATTTAAAACGGGAGAATGAGACAATTAATAATAAGATATCTTATGCATATGAAGAGAGTGGAAATAGAGAGGCGGCCTGGTCTAACAGATACCTATCCAGATATACATTCACTTGGTTAAAATAGTTGACCAACTTTCAATGGTGTTGCTTTTTTAGCCTATTCAAAGCAGATTATGGCTGTCCAGTTGGTAACCCAGAGTTTGTATGTAAAAAATGGAGCACATGAAATGGTTGATTCTGTATTACCCAACTTTTTAGGATTCTCTAAGGAGAAAATTTGTTTTATTAGGAGGATGTCTCAAATCAAAGAAATAAAATAACCCAACTTAAATTACTTAACACAGGTTATCAGTAAGGCAACAGTTTTCTTCAATTCACAATGCTGGAAAAACTTTCGCATCATGTTAACTCGAATTGAAGGAGATCGTTTAGTATTCATTAGAAGTTATTTATCAGTTAAAACTGAGAGCAGAAATAATGTAGGTGAACCTTGACGACGCAAATATAGATATTTAAAATTAGTTTCTAACAAGTGTTTAAACAACTCTAAGATTTAACTAGAATTACTCTAATTTAAGCATAACGTTAACGTTTTCCTCGGGATTATGTTTCATACTATGCGGCTCATTGAGCCGCACGGGTTCTCTAGTTTATTTATTATTAAATAAATGGTTCTTGCTGAAGTAATTTACAAAGCTATCATCTTGCATCCATTCAACACTAATCTCTGCATTAAACCCCACACCCTGGTTTGTAGGTATCGTAGTTAACTATGATTATTTCAGCGTATGTTAAGTAAAACTCATCATTGAATTGTTTAGTTTCATACAATAACTCTGTTTCTTCTTAAACCTGTTTTCCAGCTTTTGAAATCTGGGTTTGCTAGCGCTAGCAATTCAGTTGAGCCCAGTGGAGGATAATTGCAGATTGGAATGTGCAGATATGTCAAATACCAGGTGTTTCTTTTCTCAAAATAATTTTATTAAAAACCTCATGATGATATAAGACATCTGAATCCTGTTTCAAACCACCAGACTTTTTTCAGGATCAAACTAGCTGTATAATGTACCTTTCTAAAATGTTTAGTATTTGTTAGGCAAATACCCAGCTAAATCATAAACAGCATTAAAAGCAATAGATTACTTAGCGAGGATCACTAAATAACAGCCCAAAGATTCAAGATTGACATTCTTCAGGAACATATAGCAATAAACAGTATTGTGGGACAAGGTCTCATACTCTACCAAGGTCAAATAGTCATTGAGTGTGAAGAATATTTGTAATTTATGCAAGGATTGTCGCTGCCATCCTTTTCATTATCTTGTCACCTTGGCTGTCTATTGCATGCAAATCTCAATCCTTTTATTGGCAATGAAAGGCGTAATTTCAAACCCTGTAAAGAGTGATTGGATTTTCATTGTGTGTTGAGAAGTGGCTATTTTATGTGGAAGAGTTTTGACTGGTAATTATAAACATCTCTTCTACTATCATGCTTCAAACGGAACAGTCTTTACAGATACTGCCCGGAATTATAATTCACCTATAATTATAAAAAAAGGTTAAGGTAGGTTTTGAACAGGTACCATATCTCCCCCCTAAATTTTGTAAACTTTTGAAAAATATTAAATACAAACTACCAATGATCACTGTTGACTAACTTGATGTTTATTTTGATTAATCTTTTAGATCATACATAGTACATAATTGTCTAGGTAGCTGATTTGTTTTAGTGCTTGCCTTCTAATTTGAAGGCTGCTGGTTTGATTCTAAGCAAGATCGTAACTGGATCCATTTGTCATTGGGCTATTAATGGTGCTATCTAACAGCAAGATTACGTTTTGGACTAATCCCTTGGAAAAATGAAAAAAATATCACAGGCGTTGATATTCAAATACAAAATAATATAAATAATTCAATAAGTTGTACACCATGTCAAATATAAAATGAAATGAAATGAAATGAAAAATCATTTATTTATACAGGCAAAGTTAGGGCCACATGGCCCTTTCTTACACTTAACCTGTACTTTAAAACATAATATAAATATTTTAACATAATCAGCTTATACAATAAAACAAAACAGAAATCTACAGAAACTCAGATACAGAAACTTTTATCAAAAATCAGTAAATTTTAAAACTACTTACACACACACACTCACTCACACATACATACAAGTCAGCGACCGCCATGCGCACAGGCCCCTACGACAAACCTACCATGGCCATACGTTCAAAATAGAGATTTTTTAGCGCTGCCACAAACCGGGGACGACTATCGAGGGATTTAATAGCTAAAGGAAGATCGTTCCAAAGACGGCAAGCAGTTACAATAAACGCTCTGTCGTAAACTGCGGTCCTATGGTGAGGCATACGCAAAGTTAATGATGCATGGCGTGAGTATCTGACACTTTCTTCAGCTACAAACCTAAAATCATCTACAAAATATTTTGGAAAATTGTTTTTTAATATTGAATAGGTTAGCGAAAGAATTTTGATTGATCTCAGGTCACATAGCTTTAATAACTTAGAATGAATGTAGAAAGGTGTGATGCGCTCACTGCGTCTTAGATCATAAATATACTTCATGTTTTGGGCCACCATCCAGGATCTGCCATCCAGATAGAACATAATCTTTATAGGGGTTATGCATTAAGGATGAGTAGTAAGAGTAGAGTATACTCAACCAACATCACCTAGTAAGAGTATATGTTACATGGTATCAAACCATCAAGTAAGAGTGGATTGTTGTAATTGTAAAAATGTGAATTAAGTTCTCCATGAGAAACAAAATGTCATAATCCATCTCTGAAAATCTTAACTAACTACAAAGATATTATATTAGCACGATATCCAGTACTCAGTTAGACAACAAAGACTTGATAAAATAAAAAAATAATAAATAAAATAAGACACATAAACAGTTGATCAAATGTTACAATAGTAGAGACATTTAATACATTGCACAATACAATTATTACTGTACTTGTTGTTATGTTGTAAGTTGAGTTAAAATAATGCTATCTATACTTAATAAACATAAGTAATTATGTATTATCCTCAATTAATTACAATGATTGCTAAAACAATAATTATAAACCATCACATTTGTAAAATATACTTTTTGGAACACTGCAGCAAAAACAGTTGTTTTTAATGCATGCATTGCAGGTCGAAGTAGCATTTTTACTCTCTGGAGAAATAGTTATTTGTGCAACTAGTGAGCAAAGGGAGCAATTGACTCACTCGAGAGAAATACTTACTCACAAGCCGTAGGTGAGTGAGGAATGGTTTCTCGAGTGAGGCAATTGCACTTTGCACTCGAGTTGCACATTATATTTTTCCTACAGTTACCTAACAATGTACATGTTCTCCCACTGATTAGAGAAAGCAAAGTGGCCAATTCGCTCATCAGTGAGACAATGTTAACATTGTCTCACTCTAATTACATTGTCTCACTCCAGATTTGCAACGTGGAGGTACGAAATAGTGAGCGCGTAACATGCAGGCAACGTCGTATGCGCGCGAAATACGTTGGCAGCACTGGCTGTAAATCAGCTGGTCAGCTGTTGTACTATTGTATTTGTCACTTCACATTAAATGATACTGTATATTAAAAGTTCACTTCTGTCTAAAAATAGGTTATGTTTCTTCACCAATTTATTTGTTTTATGGTAACTGTAGGAAAAGTATAATGTGCAACTCGAGTTCAAAGTACAATTGCCTCACTCGAGAAACCATTCCTCACTCGCCTACGGCTCGTGAGTAAGGATTTCTCTCGAGTGAGTCAATTGCTCACTTTTCTCACTAGTTGCACAAATAACTATTTCCTACAGTTACCATAAAACAAATAAATTGGTAAAGAAACGTGACACATTTTTACATAGAAGTGAACTTTTAATATGACATTTAATGACACAACAGTACAACAGCTGACCAGCTGATTTACAGCCAATACTGCCAACGTATTTCGCGCGCATACAAGCTTGGCTGCATGTTACGTGCTCACTATTTCGTGCCTCCACGTTGCAAATCTGGAGTGAGTGAGACAAAGTAATTAGAGTGAGACAATGTTAACATTGTCTCACTGATGAGCGAATTGCCCACTTTGCTTTCTCAAATTAGTGAGAGAATATGTACATTGTAAGGTAACTGTAGGAAAAAATAGTTTTTATCCTCTAGGAAGTAAAAATCAGCTGTTGTGAACTCAGTTGTGAATTTTGATTGTTGCCTATTGTTGTTAATCGTTGCCTTATTGTAAATAGTTCAACATATCAATAGTATAATGTACACCAACACAATCATAATAGACAAAACTATTGAATCCCTTACTAAACAGCTGCTTGTTTCCATTAGCAAATTAAATTGAAAACAAGCTACTAAGCAAGAAGTTGTTTTGAGAGGTTATATCTTTCAATGAAAATTATTTCAGTTTTATTTGTATCATAGTTTTTTTCTGTTTTTTT